TTGGGACTCACCATTTCCATTGTATTGTCCTTTGGATTATTGCTTACACCTTATAATAATATATTTCTGATAGAAGATCAAAATTTTGGGACTCACCATTTCCATTGTATTGTCCTTTGGATTATTGCTTACACCTTTAATAATCTATTTCTGATAGATGATCAAAATTCTGGGACTCACCATTTCAATTGTATTGTCCTTTGGATAATACAGAAACTGGTACCTCCTGATAAGAGCAGCATTGGGATCATACCACTCTGCGATAAATGCATACCTTTCATCTTGAGTAGACTGGAATAAGAATTATTATAACTATATCAAACAATTTCACTGGGTGGCTGCAGGCAAACCAAACCTTACCCCTCCTCCTCCTCATAATAATAATAATAATAATAATAATAATAATAATAATAACTACATCTCTGTCATCCAAAGACTCAATCAAACTCAGTAATGGTATGTGATGTTACCACCTGTCTGCAGCAATTAAATATTGAATTTGACACCGTTTCTTACACAAATGGATTAAAAAAAAAAGGATAATTAATTACCATCACATAATTTAAAAATTTAAATGAAATATGTAATCATTTATTTGATATCTTAATTTGTGTGTAAGTAAGGAATGTCCTCACGCAGGTTTTTGTTTCGGAGTCAAACTGTAGGTTTTTTGAGGCCCAGTGACTATTATCACGTTGAGAGTATGCATTGCTGGTGTCTACTCCTAGCACTAACCACAGTAACAACATGTAGAGTAATAAGTGCAAGTACAGTAGAGAGAGAGAGAGAGAGAGAGAGAGAGAGAGAGAGAGAGAGAGAGAGAGAGAGAGAGAATTTCATTAGGAAATTCCATTGAAAACGAGTAAATAAACTTCCCTAGAAGTGCTTAACTCACCATCGTTTATGTAGTCTTTTGATCCCAATTCAAATGTCGATAATTAGTAGAGAACTTGGAATTGCTGTGAATTCAGAAACCGCTAAGACAGAGTTGTTGTTGGCAACAAAAATGCCGAACGACTTTGTGTCCCCTTTTCTTATTGGCTAAATCTAGTCAGCTGACCCATAAAGCTCAACTTCCTTTAATTTGAAAAGGTGAAGGTCAAAATAAACCAAGAAAAACTTTTTGAGACATGTAGTGTAGGTTTGTGAATTTGAAGGATAATAATTTACACATTACCTGTTGAATTTTACAATATCTTCTTTGTTATATTGACACGGGAGAATTACGTTTCGAGAATAACCTATTGTTCCCGCCATCTGTCGGCAACATTGTTTACCATGGAGGAAGTAACGCCGAACCATCGCATATTTTTCATTTAATTCTTGAAAATCATTGGTAGGTATTTTTTTAAATACGGATGGCTACTTATATCTTACGACACAGAAGTTTATACTGAGGGAATCAAAATAAGCTGGTTGATAAGACCTGTATTATTGGAATACGAAGTCTTCAAAAGTTTGCTTACTGTTTTCAGCAACTCGAGGATTGCGTGTCAGCTGTCATCAGTTGAAGTAAGATAAATGTTTCACTGAATCCTCTAAGTGTCGTGATTAGACGGAATATATAATTTACATATACAGTAGCTCTGTGATGACTTCTTTAACGTGTTATGAAAGCTTTAGTGAATGATGCATTGAAGCCTCCAGGTGAAATTTTATTATTGAATTTCTCAAATAGTCTTACAATATTACTGGTATGAAGAACGTGGTCCGAGGACAGAAAACCATGCCCTATTTGTATATGATGTGATTAGACGGTTTTAACCATTAATGTCAGAACAAAGAGCTACTTAATTATTACAAGTTCTTATGTAGCATTAGTTAAACTGTATCAACAATTTAAACTCTAGTGTTAAATCTCTGCTTTTTTTTCAGTATTGCAATTATGGCTACCAAGGGGATGCAGATAATTAAGGCCAACACATCCATAGTCAGGGATCAGGTGGTCAAAGGGCTGCCGTCAGATACAGGTGTGTTTTTCCCATTTGAAAAAATTTGAATTACTGGTATATAATTTAAAGTGTTCCATAAAGTCCAAGGCTAGATTGTAAGACCAGCTGATCTCTCAAGGATAGCAGGCTATCATCCCAACCTTTATCCTATTAACCGTTACTTCCTCCTCATACTTAGGTGCTGGGCCAAAACGTGTCACATTTGATGAGAGTCAGGTGCCCCGTATTCCACACGAACCCACCAAGGCAGCAGTGGGGCATATCCAGAGAGGGACGTCTGGACAGTTAATGACCAAAGGGACAGTGTCCAGTTCAGGGGGTACTGAGATGAAACAGGGTAAAAAGGGGGACCACAGTAATACTAAGAGGCCACATCAGTATAATTTGGCACAGACTCCTACATCTTTGGGTAGATTTCAGAGAGAAAGTCATGGAGGGGCCAGACAGAAGACTGACTTGTCAAAGCCATCACCATTGTTCTATATAGCCGACAATGGCGATGCCTCAGACTGCAGTAGTGTTTCCGACTCCCCTGATCACATTGGTGCTAAGCAACAAAAGACAAAGGTCAAATATCAGACATCACTCACCGGAGGAGCTTCTGCACAAATGAAATCAGACTCCACCTCGTCCATCACTGGTTTAAAACTTCGTCCTATTAATATTGTGGATCCTATGCATTCTAAACCCACTGAAGACACACATGGGAAGACAGGTGCCAGTCAGTCTCTCCCAGATATGTCTCCAGAACACATACAGCTGGGCATTCCTATGGGCTTCAAGCTTGGAGGTGCTCTGGACATGTCAGATCCTGGAGGAGATTGCGTTGGACCTTTCTCCCCTAACACAATCAAAACACAGCTGAGGTCACTGCTGGAGGAGAAAACTGTGCTCAGATCTGAGCTGGACAAACAAGTGGAGGTATAATGTGTTGATGTAGTGAGGAAGTTGATTGTAATATTCATCTTGTTAACTTTGTGAGCAGTGTCAACGTGGGTTGATTATTTTTTAACTTAAAGTTATTTTTTAAACTTTTCAATTTCTACACTTACAGTGTTTGAGCTGTAAGCATTTCGGAAGCTTCCAATCTCGAATTTGGTTGACCGTTTAATAATTTATACTTTTCGGGTCAATCTGCCATCAGACTGATGAAAAATAATGTAATTTGTTAAAAGGGAAATAATTTATAAGAAAAGCCTGTATCCAACCCACATCACTTAAGCATATCTGTTTAGCGTAATAGTGTCATAAGTTCTTTTACTGAATCGTTATATACTTATTACTATAACTTTATATTTGTTTGACCCAGGTGAATTTGGAGTTGAAAAAATTGTTGGTGGCTTCTCTTGGTGATGACTTGCAATACAGGATGGAGAGGATGGCCAGGTATGTATGGGGTCCACATATGCTAGAGCATGGGGTCTCTGTGGATAAGTTTATAGTAATAATTTCAAATCTTAATTTCATGAGGTTTGGATGATTTTGAAAATTGCAGAAATGGAGGACTGATCATGTTATGAACAAAAGGAAAAAAGCAAAAAAAATTCAGATTTATTCAACTGACATCAGAAAAGCTTTTTCTTCTTCATATTTTATTTTAATAAAACAGCTCTATTTTTTTTTTTTTTTTTGTAAATTTATCGATTGTTAACCAACCAATTAATGAATTATACAATAACATATTAATTTGGTATTCAGTGGTGTTGATTCAGATAAAGTGCTTGTCTGTTTTCAGGGACAAGGCGTCCCTGGCACTGCAGGTGGGGGACTACTCTAAGAAGGTGACACAGGACACAGAGACACTGGAGAGTTTGTCCATACAGGCAGACATGTGGAGGAGCAAGTACATGGCAAGCAGGTTAGTACTTTTTACTCAGGGTCATATAATATATACAGATAATAGTGCCTATGGCAACCCCTGTAATTTCACTTTTGTCTAGTAGCAAATATTCTACGTTTCATTTTTTCCCCTTTTTTATTATTATTATTTATTATTTATTTATTTATTTATTTTTTTTTTGGGAGGGGGGTGGGGGTTAATTAATGTAAGTCAGTTTTTATTTAATTCTGTAGATTTACAAAGCATGGCACCACATGAAAATATACAATCATGGCTGAAAGGATAGTGCTACCATAAAATTTGCCAGGGGCACAATGCCCTACATATTGTACTTTGTATACACCATTTACTATAATTATTACATCTTAAATAACCTTGTAGCAATAATACCTTTAGATGGTAAAGCAATAAAGAAACTTTGGTTTAAAATATCCACTCCTACTATCTTCCACCCCAGGGTAATGGTGGAGGAGCTGGCAGAATGGAAGGCCCACCTGTTCCTGCAGTACCGAGAGTCCCAGGCTGCTGTGCTCAAGTTGCTGGAGGAGAGGCAGGTGTTGAAGATAAAGCTGATGGACACATACAAGTGAGTGCACTGATCGGGGATCAAATATGGCGACCCACTAAAAAGCTTGCTGCTTATTTCCCAATATAATATAGTACCTTACAAGAAATTGAATAATGCTGATGCTGCATTTTATTTCAGAAAAATTAAAAGTTTCTCATTGCTCTTCAGATACTTTTGTTTCAATTCCAAAAGAAGTATTTTATTTCAGGAATCTCTAGATTAAAGGATGGATTTGTCCCCAAGTCTGGTTAATTCCAGGAGTTAAAATTAAAGGGTGAATTTGATCCTGAGATTATTTTTCTGTTTGAGGAATTAAAAGATCCAAGGTTAGATTGTCCTTAAAATTGCTTTATTCAGTTATTCCAAAAAAAAAAAAAAAAGAAAAAAAAAAGAAAAAAAGAAAAATTAAAGTTGAATTTGAGGGGAGATTGTCTTATTTCAGGAATCTCAAGACATTACAGGATGGATTTGACCCCAAGAATGCCCACCAGACCCCCACACACCACGCCTTCAGCCTGATGACCGTGGTCAAGACCATTCAGCAGCTGGCCTACAATGTCAAGTACAGACTGCTGGGGCCGCTGCCTGATGACACCTCTGCTGAAACTGCCAGTATCCAGGATTTGACGGAGGCAGAGGAGTTTGCAAATAAGGTGAGTGCTGTGATTTCAGCTAATATCTGTGGAGCTGTTTTTTTTTTTTTTTTTTAATTATTTGTTTAAAAGTAAAGTGTTATCTATCGCTGTTGCGTAATACTTATGTGTACGAGAGTGGCCAAATCAGACCAGACGTCCTTTGAGCTCTCAGTCCACCTTAGGGACCATTTCCACAGATATTTGAATCTAGGCACGGGAACCCAGTCTTAGATTCTTGTAGAAGTTTCTTTTTATTTTTTATCTGAATTAAATGTTACAAAATTAAAGGCAATTTTTCCTTATAGTTTTATTCCAATTATTGAATATCAAAATTTAAGATTACAATTAATTTAATTTTTTTTTTTTTAGGTGCTGTCTAATACTACAATTCCACAAGACGAGGAAGGCCTTCAGAATCTCTGTGCGCCACCTGTGTACAGTGCTCCCAGGTCTCAGGTGATTGGACGATTTCATCCCAGCACCAGATTCGAGCAGTTGACCTTCTGTAGCTGCAAGCACTGTTCTGGGGAGATACAAGTGGTGTAGGGATACCACAGGACTTAAAACATTATATAAATGAATTGGATAAATAGATAAACTTGTTAAATACCAACTAGTTAAGATGCAATACAAGGTGCTCTGCATGGATAATGAAATGTTTAGTGCATAAATTATATTCAGTGATGCAACATGTTCAGTATTACATATATATCTCTTACATTGAAGTGGTTGACAAAGTGCAGGAAAGGGCGACCATAAAATACACATTAAGTTCTGAATTTTATACTTTTGGGAGGGGTGGGGTATGAGTAGCAATATCGTTTAGGATTCCAGAAAATGTAATACCGACATCAAAATGTTGAGTGTAAAAAAAAAAAAAATTATTTATCTATATGTATATATATAATTATGTCAAAGCAAGAACCAGGCATAAGCATTTTCTGTGAATTCCTGTAATTTAAAAATCCACACTCATTCTGAAGTCAGAAAAAATTGGCTAGACAACAGGAAAGTTTCTTTTTAACCAAAAAAGTCCTCATCTTACATAAACCCCTGTTAAACAGAGAAAACAATACACTTCACTGCAAAATGCTTTGATATTGAAATAGAGTGCGGCATGGCCTGTTGTTTTCTTCTCTAATCATGGTTTCAAATATAATAATAAACAATTTGTGCCCATAACTAGTTCAGGAAAGGGTCTGTCGAGTGTCTTGCCTCTCATTATTGCCCCTTTTCATCAACATTTAATTTACAGTTGCACAAGTTAATTTTTTTGGTAAAATTTTAACTAAAAAATCCTTTTCTTATCTCTAGCCAATTAATTCTTGCTTCGACAAATTTTGATTATATCGATTTTTTCCAAATTATGTATGACTGGGCCCCAAGGCATTATTATTGTGATCATGCTAATCTCTACAGTACCAAGGGCATAGTCACTTATACAGGACCCGTTTAAAAATGAAGCAAACTGTGATTAAAGGTTAATAAAAATGGAAATTTTTTCACGAAGTGATGCTAAATGTGTACTTCTTCATAACCTCATACTGATTTGTGCAATGCTTCTTCATTTTAAGTAGGTTACATAAAAGAAGAAAAGACACTTTAACCATCAAGTAAGCCACAAGAATACTATAATTGTATTTGAATTGATGAGTAGGATTTTCACTTTATCATTGAATTAGCACATTTTCTCTGGATAAGAATGACAAATAGAAAGTGACAATTGCTCTAATAGAGTGCCAGAAGTGCGGCAGAAGAGTGAAGGCATTATGCAATATTAACATAGAAAAAAATATGTATACTTAACAAAAACTTAATAAAAACATTGATTTAATTATCAAATTTTTTATTGTTTTATTTCCTTTCTCTAATTACAATTACTTACATTAAACTTGTTTGGCAACTATATGACGTTACAGTATGGATGAAACGGGCAAGATTGAAATACAGGTCACAGTTAAGTTTTAAAGATAAATCACACCCCTAAGAAAGTTGTAAAGTTACCATTCATGACTACTTTAAGATTCAGATTTTTCTCACCGTGGTGATTACAATTAAAATCTCGCCAAGGGAATTTTAAAATGTGTCTGGGTGAGACTGCAATTTCAAACTTGTCTATTAGTAGGCAGAATTAATAAATGTCCAAAATTTAAATGTCTGCAAGGTATTTCAAGACTAAATATACTTCAATAACAGCTGTCCACTGAACCACTGATTATTTTAAAAAGGATGGTTACTAGTAAATTAAACATGTAACATACAGGAACTCCAAAATGTTGACCAGTAATTTGGTTAAATATTTACAGGGAGTCTAAATACAAAAAAAAAAAAAAAAAAAAAAAATCTTCTTCAAGGTATTCTTTATTCAGCATGAAAAGAAGTCTGAACCATCAAGTCATCTCTGGCTTTCTACCTACTAAAGGGCTTCATCACTCTGAAAGGAAAAAAAAAAAAAAACAGAGAGGAGTCAAAATTCTGATGCAGACTCAAATTTGTAAACTGTGTTATTTCTAAAAATGCCAACCTGCTCAATGCTATTACTGAAAATATTTCACTTCTTTTACGGTCATGACTAAAAGTTCAACGGGTGAAAATTGTGAATTTTACAGATACTGTATTTTTGAAGTCCACTTCTTTAAATAAAAACATTCTTATTGAGTGGTAGCAACAAAATTAAAAGCACCCTACTCTACAGTTCTACTCTATGCAGCAAAAGCACCACAAATGTTATTCGAAATTTTTAAAAATAATTTTGTGACTATAAAATTACAAGTCTGAAATTTGATAATTTTTGCCCATAGAAAAGGTCGAGTCTTTACTTAACTTCAAGTATTTTGAGGGGGTTTATCACTTTTTATAAAACTGACAAAGGAACAATATATAGCCTAGCAAGCAGGATGTTTACACACATAAATACAACTGTGGCACATTTTCAGTTGAATAATATTGTATACCTTTATGCTAATAATAATCTCAACTGGATATCTTTAAATAGAAACCCATGTATTGATTGAACACATGTCTTAAAAAAAGAAAAAAGAAAGAAGAAGAAAAAAACATACTGGTTTCCATCCGTAAACTCCAAGCTGCTCCTCCAGAAACTCTCTCAGGTCCCATTTCTCCGTCAGTTCAGGGGGTACATGCAAGACCGTGAAACCAAGCTTCTCTAGAACCTTTGTCCTACACGCCTCGGGCACTGGATAAGTACCAAAAAAAAAAAAAAAAAAAAAAAAAAAAAATGTTGCTGACATAAAAATAACAGTGGTAAAATATTACAGGAAACATGTTACTTTGTAAAAGAAAAAAAATGAACCTAAAATAATGAAATAATAATAAAATTAAATCATAAATCGAGGGAATTCAAATAGTTCTTGAAATGTTTGTAAACAATATTTTAATCAATTAACTGTTAGCAAATATTCAATATGTAGTGAGTTAGGTAAACCATAGGGTGCAAGTAAACTGTGAACTAAACATTCCTAATGTATGAAAGAGGATCAACTGCAAATTTGTGACAGTCACATCACATTAGAATTTCTTATACCCAGACTTTGGTGTGTACAATATGTTGCATTCAATTTTGAAAATATCTTAATACAGGGGCGGATCCAGAGCTATTTTCTGACAGTCTTCTAAATTATCGTTGTTGATCCATCCTGTATTTTTGACTGTCTTCCGAGAGAAAAAATTAGATATCTGTCAATGTAAACTTGGAAATCTGACCGTCTTCCGGAAGACCCAGAAGACAGCCTCAATCTGCCCCTGGAATACCTGGGCAATGGCATGCCGATGCTGACCGAGCCCAAAATCAAAGGGTTCAAACTTGACATTACATGTGATCTAATAACATAAGATGAGGACAAATATCTCAGTAGCCCATTTGGAGATCTATATAAACTGATATGCAGTCTTTTTTGCACATCCTTCATTTTACGTAAATATTTTAATCTGTAAACTCACAAATTTTATCCTAATCCAGTTTATGGACAACTCCTTCCTTTTGGTTGCAATGTTTAAATAATTTACAACTTATTACCTCCACCAAGGAGGTTATGTTTTTGGTTCCGTTAGTTTGTCTGTCTGTCTGTCTGTAAGCAACATTACAGAAAAATTTATGGTCTGATTTTGATGAAATTTTCAGTATCTGTCAGAAGTGGGCCAAGGAACAGATGATTAGATTTGGTTATGATCCGGATCATTAATAAATCAATAATCAATAATCAAAAATAAAAAAACTAAATCATCATAGAATGAAATTTTAGGGGTGAAACGGCATTGGGTGGAGACTTTGCTGCCTTGGCAGAGATCTGCGCTCTCGGAGTGGTTTTCTAGTTATTACCATATTTCAGTAAGCCCTACCTATGAGCTCCTTTTTATCCCATGTGTAATCTTCATGCCTCATAACTCGCACTGCAATTCTTCGCCAACCTTCCGGTAGCCTCGTCTGCTGGCAACCCAACATAACAGGCTTTATTTTGTCTGGGGGTACCAGCACAGGAGTCCCAACTGTATCCAAAATAAACTCAATGTACACCAGCCCAAAGTGAGGCAGTGTACCTAGTCGCACCTCTCTGTCAATTGCCCGAGCTACAGCAAAAGGCATTTCACTCATCAAATCCAGTTTTAACCATTGTGTTTTCAAAATGGCATCCCTAATGACTGGGATCTCAAACTGATGACGAGGAATTTGGTTGGTGTACTGGGTATTTTTCTGAAGTTCCAAATAGCCGTAAATTTTGAGTAGGGGCTCCACATAGCTGTCATGTGTAGGGATGCCATCTTCAAGTTTCCGTTGGAAGGCCTCACTGAAAAAATTCCTCAAAAGAGGATCCCACTCACTCACCTCCATGTCACACTGTCCAGATACACAGGCAACAAACCAATGCTCCAGCAAAGAAATAAGAAATCCTATGCTTTCCTCCCAATTTTCACTAAGCCGCAATCTCTCCAAATAGTCCTGCTGAAGCAGAGTAAAAATACGCCTTAAACTGGTGTCATCTCCACAGTTCATTTTCACTAGACATTTCATCCAATGTAAACAGTCGCTTGCTTCCAAAGTGCTGTCTTTCAAAGCCCCCAAGTTGTCTGGGAAAGAGAGCCTAATAGCAGAGTAAATTAATTCACATCTATAGTTCTGTTGGGACAGCTTATAGGCATACCAAATCTTTGCTCTGATATCTAAAAGGTGCATAGAATTCAAAATCACATTTTCAATTTCACTCAGCAGATGGTCTGAGACTTTTGATCTACTATCACACTGTTTGTTAAAGTAAGTGGAAAGCAACTGATCGACCAGTGGAAGAGATTGCTCGTTTTGCAGAACAGAAACACTGTATTTCAAGGCTGGCAGTGCCACAGGCAGTTGGAGGAGATGCATCAATTCTAGATAAACAATAAGAAACTTGCTCTCTAATATATGCAACTTTGCCAAACTCTGTTCCAGAAGTTTCAAACTCAACAAAATGTTCTTCTCACCATGTTTCAACCTGAGCTCGGCCTGATTTACGATAGCCATGAAGATCCTAAAATGAAATTCTTTAGGGATGTTGTGCATACCCTCGATATCAGAAATGAGCTTTTCGGTGGCCTCTTTCAGGTAATATCGATTGTCAAGCTTAGATAATTCATACATGGCCCGTGTTGATTGAAGCTGTTCAGGTAGACTTAAGGTTGGCCAAGCTTGAATGACAGCTTTTTCCAAGACCACCCCCAACTTTCTGTCAGGGTCTTCAACGAATTGTGGGTATAAAGAAATATGGCTTATGTGTTCTCTCATTTCTAAATCTTTCAATATTTCAAGCTTTAAAAGCATGTGTTCATACAATGCCAGTAATTTCAGATCTTCTATGACAACTCTGTTTAAAAAACCACTGCCAGTCTCTGGTTGTCTGAGACACAGATCAGCATATAAGTATTGAAGGACTTGATACGCATTGTCTGCATAATCTGGGTTGCTTTCAAACTCACTGACAATATCCTGTGGATCTCTGTTTTTGAACAGGTCACTGGTTGCAGCAGTTGGTACAGGGGATAGGGTAATATGCTGCTGTATTAGTGAAAAGAATCTGGAGCATGCCTCTGCTTGTGCTGGCCCACTCTTACTACTGGTGGAATGGTTATGGCAATTGTCACCAAAGTTTAGCCCATCAGCTGTGTTTTGGCTGTACCCCTCACTAATGGACTGATAAACTGCTTCGCGCACGTTCTCTCCTGACCCATTAGTATGGCAGAATTTTCTGGCACTATACAATAATGGCTGCTTTGGAGGCAGACAAGACCGACCCTGAAAGAGGATACGGCTAACTGCTCGTCTAAAAGCTGCCAAGGACATTGTGTGATGCTAAAAAATCAAAACAAAAAGGAAAATGTGATCATCAACGATTTTGACTGAGCAAAAAATATTTGTCAACTCGGTATATACATGTAGAACTAGTCCAAAGGTTGTTCTTTGTTCATACATAAAACACGAAGTTAACAATACAGTCCCCGTAGATTGCCTCAGATGTCTGCCTGTATAACATTGGGGTCTTTCAAAAGATAGAAATGGACAGAAATGGACCGATATAGACTTCTAGATACACAAAGCATAACGCTCTGGGGTCACATTTAGGTTATACGTCGTAAAAATAAACTTGCTTCTGCGACAAAAAGATCTTATTCTACTTTTTAAAGGACCGTGTGCAAACTAGTTCTAGAACTCTTAAGTGCTACATACTAGTAGCTTGAATATTAAGACCTTATGAAACTGGTGGACACAGCTCACACATTTAAACGGGTTTCTTTTCAACTTACATATACATTCCTGTGCAATGTGCTCTCAGCTGGCGGCCGCCATCTTTGATTCGTTGCCTACAACAGCTTCTCTGACACAATCACATCTATCGCATTTTCATATTTAGCTGAAGATTATAAGCCCCTGTAGGCCCTATTGCAAGAGCTCAATATCAATTAGGCAAAAACATTTTATTACATTTAACGCCATTTCACTGTAAATTAAAACAATACAGTTTTAATAATAATAATAATAATAATAATAATAATAATAATTTTAATAACTTATCAACCAAATTGTTTTCCTGTACGATTAAAATCGTAATGGTGGATGTGAATGGGCTTTTTAGATGATTTTATACTTGAATAAGAACTTCTGACAATTTTTATTTACCATTAACGAGCTCATAGATTAAACCGTCTGTCGCCTGAGAAAAACCAAGTGTTTTGAGATAATCGTGGCCTCGACCGATATTGCCTTGATAAAGAGAGCCAATAAGAAACGTTTGATGCCGACTGCATCCAAGCTCACGTCCACACAGATTTTAAGGAAGTAAACACTGGGTTTACAACCAGAATAAAGCCCCCCCCCTCACTCAAAATACAGTTTTCTAAGATATTCTTAAATTAAAATGAAACTTAACTTACACTCAATGCCACTAAGACTTTTCATCTAGCCTATTTGATTCCCCTTTTATTACTAATTGCAATTAGCGTAAGCGTTAGTCATTAACTTTACAACAAAATTGCTCGAAGAATTGGTTGAATGGAATGATTTCGTTACAAATGTCAACTTTTCTTTCATGCAAAGTTTTAGAGTTGCAGACACAAAATGTTTAATCACTAGACATGGAATAGAATCAGAAACACGGTACGGTTATATTGCGCATTTCCAGTGAATATTTCTTAATATGGTCCATGAAAATTAGCTCTACTAAATAAAGATTCAATCAAAACAAAATCGCTTATAAATCTCCACGAAAGTTTACAATCAATTTCAAAATTCCATTCACATTTCTTTATTAAGACTAGTATAGGCTACCCTGAGTGTCAGAGCAACGTAAAAGCTAGCTTGTTAATTATACCTTGTGATGGAGTCGCTTTTACTAGGTATTGCTGATATGGGATATATATGAATCAAGATCGAGCTGGCAATACCGGAATCTAGAACCTAGGGTAGTACAGGCCTTCTGTACAAACAATCAATAGCGGGCGTGCCCATCACGTGCACGATAAAGGCGCACGACGCAGCCACTAGTGCCACCAATCCTTACTGGGGGATTCTGAGGTCAAAACGTGTCTTAACTGTTGTGGATTTTCTGGGTGTGGGTTTCTACTGTGTACAGAACTCTCCAAGTTTTAGAGATAATTAAAAACTCACAGATCAAAATTGAATGAAATCAAAAGTTAACCCAGCATGGTCTCATGTACTTCATACTGCCCTTTCATTAAATAAGTGCTATCTTCTCGGCGAGATAATCATGCAGCAAGAGGAGTTTTTATTCTTTTTTCAAAAGTCACTTCGCCGCTATTGCTTTTCCCATTCATACATTTTATTTTTTTGCCCCCCCCCCACCCCTCTGCCTCTCAAGACTGTTCATTTGGTCAAACAGTGCTACCGGGGGAACTTTACAGTGGACATTTAAAAGATCAAAGACTACTCAAAATTAAAACCAAAAAGGTGTGAGTCGCTTCTCTATAAAGTCACAAGTGAAGTCAAATGTTTTCTCAGTGTAAAACAAAATAAAAATAAAGGCATCTGAAGCCTTCTAACTGGCCGTGCCGGGCAGGCTTATCAATAAAAACAATAGAACTTGAATTGATTCAGTATAGCTTTGCCGAAATAGCACCACGGGATATCACCTGTAAACCGCGTTCAGCAGAAAAAAATAATATGTTCTCAGCGGAATTATTTGTTTTTCTCAAAATTCGCATCGTCGCAATTGCTTGTTAATACCACATGGGAGTTCCCAGTATCATCACTGAAGTCAGGACTTACCCGAAAAATATCACCTGTTGAAGCAAAATGGCAGTAGTTACTTCAAGGTGGTAAAGGTTGCCCAATCAACGCTCTTTTTCACAACTTATCTTCGTCAATCGATAGCTTTGAAATGCCCCTTAACCTTCTTTCCCAAGACGACGCACGAATTCGTGTCTTCCTCCTTCTGTTCGTGGGCTTTTCTCAAGAAGAAACACATATATATATAGCTGGCATCCACTCACTGACAACTTATTCCAAAGACATGATGGCAACACTGCTCGTTTGGATGATTATTTCGTCTGCATACCACTTTGCTTTATCTATAAATTTGAATTTTAGTCCAAGGTAAGTACAGTTTCAATATGAGCACACATATTTTATAGACTGAACATTTAATAGAAAACTTGAGCCCCATGAGGCAACCGTTTGGACACACAAAAATATTAATGGTTTTAAGTCTAATTGTTCCTACTGTTTGTCAGCCAGTGAAAGTAGGGCATATATTGTATAAACGAATTTGTCATCAATCAGTCTGTCGGTGTACATTATAACTTTACATTAAAATCAATATTGCTAATAATTTTAAGGAATCCTTAATTGAACAAAAGCATGTACTTCAACAGACCCCCAACCCCCCCCCCC